GCCGCAGCGATCGTGGCGCTGTTCCTCGGCGGGGGCGCAGGGGCGGCGGGGCAGGGCGCGCGGCAGCTTGGCACGCAGCGGCAGGCAGAGGCGGCGCGGCGAGCGCGGCTGGCGCTGCTGTTCTACCACCTGGCAGATGGCGGCTGGGGGCCGCGCCCCGGTGCGGCGGGCGGCAGCAGCTGCGTCACGGCAGCGGGCTTTGCGCGCGCGTTTGGGCTGCCGCAGGGCCTGGCGACACAGTGGGAGGCGCAGCAGCTCTTGGACCGCGCGGGAGGCGGCGAGGGTGGAGGCGGTGCGCACCTCTCGCGCGCGTGCGAGCTGCTGCTGGGCTGCGCCAATGCGAGCACGCCCTTCAGGGTCGTCGAGGCACTGGCCGCCGCCGGCCGCCCCGCGCAGGCACTGGCGGTGCAGCGCGCGCGGGGGGTCGGTGGCGGCGGTGTGAGGGGCGGCGGCGGTGGCGGTGGCGGGCTGCATGAGCAGCGGGTTCTGCTGGCAGCGCGGCTTGAGTGCGCGCTGCTGCAGGAGGCACACGCGGCACTGCGCGCGCACTGCTCCCAGGTGTGGGGCGGGCTGCAGAGCTCCAGGGGCGTTGAGGCTGTGAGTGGGTGTTCCTGCGGTGCCTGTTGCTCGTTGGAACCTGCATAGGCCGGGAGGAACCGCGCCCCTGTAAAGGCCAGTCTCAGCCAGAGTCCCTGCTGCTAGGGTGCACAATTTGCACCCTGCTGATGGTCGCACTCCTTGTGTGCCCTCCGCACTCGTCTCACGAGCGTCCCTGGACATGACACCCCGCTCACATCCACCCTAATTCACCTGCCCACACTCCCTCTGCCAGCTGGCGGCCCACGAGCGGGCCGCCCACCTGGAGACGCTGATGTGGCAGCTGCTGGACTGGGCCGGCGCCCGCGATGACGACGCACGCCGCCGCGCGGCAGCAAGCGAAAGCGAGAGTGCCTCTGTCGAGCCTTGCTGGCTGCAGCGCGCGCTGCAGCTGCCACTGGGGTCTGATGAGGAGGAGGCGCTCGCGGCATGGCTCGCTCTCCGGGCCGAGAAGGGGCTCACGGACGGCAACCTCCTGCCGCTGTTCCTGCTGCAGGTGTGTCAGCTTGGGTTGGGGGTGGATGGGTTTGTCGGCCGTGCCCCCTGAAGGGTTCGCAGGGTTAGGCAAGGGCCACAGGAGGCAGGCGAGGCGGGTGCAGGCGCGCGTGAGGCGCACGCTGCACGCGCAATTTCACGGCCTTGCTCGCGAAGCCGTGCCCACAGGCAGCGGCAGGGCGGCCGGCAGCAGCTGCCGTGATCACGCAACGTACATTGAACAACACCAACCAGGCTGGGGCGCGAGCCACGCCACAGCAATGTGTTGCATCAGGTCGATGAGTCCCTCAACACCTTGTGCTTGATGCGCCACCGCCCTGATCACCGTCGCGCCTCCCTTGGCCGCACCCTACCACAATTCAAACGTAGCGCGGGAGGTCGCTGGAGGCGCTCGTGGCATACGCTGAGTCGCGACACACCTTGACGGTCGCAGCCGCTGCGCCCGGCGAAGCCTCCACCGCGCGGGAAACCCAACTTGTGTCGCTGCTCGCCTCCGCCGCGGCCGCGCTCCCGCCGGCCCTGCGCCGCGCCGCGCTCCCACCTGCGGCGGGCGCGACAAAGGGTGCTGCCGGGGGCCCCACCTCCGGCGCCCCACGGCGGCTGTTGGCCGGGCTGCCGGATGTGGGCGCGGAGCGCGCTTGCTCGGTGGCGTCCCTGGTGCTGCTCCCCAGGGGCGGGGAGCCGCCGGTGTTCCTAGCGCCAGTCGTGCCACCTGACGAGCCTGGTGGCATCAGCGAAAATGCTGGCGGCAGCGGGGCTGCGATCTATCGCGCAGGCGCTGCGGCCCCGGCGGCTGCAGGCGCACGGGACGCGACAGAGGCGGCGGGCGACGCCTGTGTCCGGTGCTGCCGCCACGTCGACAGCCAATGCAGCCGACGCTGCGCCGCCTGCACCAGCGACGCTGCAAATAAGCGGCCTTCTGTTTGGCGTCGCGGCCGCGCCCGGCGGCACCCTGTTCGGGGCCCCTGCATCCGCGGCGCCTGCCGAGGCAGGCCGCACCATGTCTGAGGCGGATTTCAGGCAGCAGCTGCTGGGCCTTGGGCCTGGAGCGGGAGCATCACGCAGCATGCGGTCCGCCACCAAGCGGCAGCGCTTTTGATGTTTGTGTAACCGCTCATCCCACAAGTCTTTCTAAGCTGGGGCGCTTACAATGCGGCCTGGGTGCCGCTGTTGAGGGAGAAAGCCGGTGCTTTACCCTGGACATTGGTGCCATGGCAGGGGCTGTGCCATGGCAACGTCGTCGTCGCAGCCGCGCTCCTGAACAGCAGTTAAGCCGCCCAACGGACGGCCAAGCTCTCCCCAGCTCGATAAATATGCTGCGAGAGGGCTGATGTGCTCGCAGCGTGGACGTGTGACGCGTGGTGACAGTTTGTAACACAGTACTGCAATTAGCTTGGCTCAGGATGTGAACACATGGAAAACAGGTCAGCAAATTAGCATCTAGGGCCTTGTGTGGCCTCACAACCAGTGGTTCTCAAGCCTCGGGCACGGCTGTGGTTGAGGCGTGACATATTGCACCACTCCGGGGGCAGTTTCAAGTCACCCACCCATGCTGTGCGTGACATCGAAGGACGAAAACGACCGGCTCTCTCGCGCCCTTGCGTCGAACAGTGTTGTTGTAAAGCCCAGGTGTGGCACCGCAGACCCTGCCTCGCGCCCCAGGGCCGCCTCGCCCAACGTGAAGCACGACCCCACGCCCCGCCATCCCCCCGCCCCTCACTCCCCCTTGCCGGCCTCTGCCGCCCGCGCCGCCTCCTCCCGCGCCGTCTGCGCGCCCCACACCCCTGCCAGCAGGCTGCCTATCACGGCGTGCGTGCAGGCGCTGAGCACGCAGGGCGCCACGATGATGGGGTCGTGGGGGAAGTGGATCTTGGCCAGCACGGCTGCCAGGGCGCTGCTCTGCATGCCGACCTGCGAGCGGGGTCGCGAGTGCTGATGTTGGAGCATGTCGGGGTTGAGGGCGGGACGAGCAGGGGCGGGGAGCAGAGAGAGGGGGGTCTGGCGGCTCAGCAAGCACGGGAAGCTGGGCAGGCCGTCGGCAGCGGACGCTGGGGTGCACCGCGTGCGAACGCCCCACGCGCACCTCGATCGAGTTTGTCCTGCAAATCTGCTCGCTCAGGCCGAGCGCCTTTGAGATGAGGTAGCCCAGGGCGAAGCCCGAGGAGTGCAGGCAGAACACAGCACTCACAATCTGGAAGCCTGGCGAGACGGATGAGTGGGTGGGGAATGGGGGGTGCGGGGGCGTGCGCGCGTGTAAGCCAAGCGTGCATGTTTGTACCTCGCCGTGGAGTTGCGAATGGATCGGAGGCCAGGGGTACAGGTGAAGGCGTTGAGTGCCTGGGGGGGACGGCAGGGAACAGCATCACGGACACGACCTGGAAGCGGCACACCGCATGGGAGTAGAAGGGTGCACCCTTCCGCCAACTATCTGCTTAGCAAGCCGCTCCCGCCTGCACCGGCGCGGAGCGCGGCACTGCAGCCGGGTGCGGCCGCCCCACCTGATGCGGCCACGACGCCCACGTTGCCCGATATCATGGACCCCACGATGAGCACCACTATGACGGTCGCCAGGAAGGGGGTGTACACGCGCATCCGCGCCACAGACTGCTCCGGGGAGGCGGGAGGGGCGGCGGAGGGGGTGTCGAGCGCCCGAAACGGTAGATCACTGGCAGCCGGCGCAAGCCGTATTGGTCGATTGTTGCCATCTCAGCACGAATGCATGCGTGCGCGATCACACGTATGCACCCGCGTCCTGGCAATTGCACCTTAAACCCCTGCGCGCCCTCCACCCCTCGCACCTTTGGGAAGAACTGGTTCACGGCCGCCCCCACTAGCACCGGCACCAGGACCAGCTGCAGCGTGCTAAAGAACATGGCACGGGGGTCAACAGGCACCAGCGTACCCTGCAGCCGGGCAATGATGCGTGTGCGGTGTCGTGGGTGCGCGGGGAGGGCGCGGCGGCCCGCGGAGGGGTGCCAACACTGCGACGGCTGGTGCAACCCCGGAGCTTCGCTAGTCAGCATGCGGCCTGAGGTCGACGAAGCGCTGCAAACCTAATCCGCCGTACAAATACCGCAACCTCCTGCCCTCTCCCCCTTACAAATCCAAGGCAAGAGCCCTTGCCCCCTCTCTAAGTGCGCACCACGAGCAGGCTGGTCAGCAGAGGGGTGGTGAACACGGCCATGAGTGTTGAAGCCGTGGTCATCATGACGCTCAGGGGCATGTCGCCGCGCGCGATGTAAGCCACGATGTTGCTGGCCGTGCCGCCAGGCATGCACGATACCAGTGCCACGCCGATCGCCAGCCCGCTGCTCAGGCCCCACCTGCGGACGGAGTGGCGGTGGAGGGGACGGCGGCGCACTTTGGGCGGCGTGTGTGGGGCCGATTGACTGAGGATGATTGCCCTAGACCGCGATGATGGCTGAATAGAGCTGTGGGCTCGACCGGGTGGAGAATCGCGGAAAGCGGTGCGAGCACCAAGGCATGCTGGCCTGACGATCCGTTTGCCATCCGGCTTCAGATCAGCGCGCGCTGTTATCATGCGCGAGGAACGGAGGTTGCAGGGCTCAGCCGTCCCGCGCACCACTTGCTGATGGCGTAGCCGATGGTGGGCAGCACCGTGTACTGCAGGGCCATGCCCAACAGCAGCAGCTGCGGCTGGCGCGTGAAGACAGACCCCATCTCCTGGAACGTCAGGGTCAGGCCCATGGCCTGCTCGGGGGAAAAAAAGGGGCCAGGAGGGCAGGGTGAGCAGGTAGGAGAGGGGGATGGAGGATGGGGCAGCGCAGAGCCCCGTGTGCACGCACCAAGTCACCCAGTCCAGTCCAAGATCAACGTTACATGCACGCCTGCTCCATGCACCTGCACTCGCTGTATCATCCGCAACATGGAGATACGCGGCTCTACTGACTTGCCAGCACTCACAACAGTCCAGCCCTGACCACCCAGAGCACCCTCCCCCCACAGCCCGCCCCACCAGCATGACGGCCATCAGTGATGCAGTGGTGTATGAGTCCTTGAACCACGTAAATAACGGGGGGTGGTAGAAGCCTGCCACTGCAGCAGCTACCACCCACACAGGAAACAGCGTCGTGCCAGCCTTCAGCACGCGTGCAACCTGAGCCTCCCAGTCCGCGGTCGCCGGCTCGCCGCCCGCTGCGCCGCCGTTGAGAGCGGCGGCATCACCAGTGGACGCGCAGACACCGGAAATCCGGCGCCGCGACCTCAGCTGCTGCCGTTCCTGCCCGCTCGCAAGTTGCAGGGCCTGCTGCTCAATGGCACAGGCTGCCTTGTAGGGGCCCCGGAGCACGGCTGCTTGCGGTCTGGAGGAGGGCACATGCCAAATGTCACATTTGAAGACATAATCACAAGGCTGCCTAACGGCGTGCGGAGGGCTGTGCACATGCTGGCCACAGCAAGGCTTGACCTGCGTCACACCCTGGCGTCGGTGCCTACCTGCAGCGTGAGCGCCCCGCGAGCACGGGCCCACGCGTAGCAGTGTGAGCCCGCGAGCCATCGCAGGCTCTTAAAGACACCTTCATGGCCCCGCTAAACGGCCCACTGGAAGACCTGCGACCTCAACCAGCCGTGCAGCCTGGATCAGGTTTACTGAGGCTGACTTGAAGTCAGGCATCGAATGAATACATTCAAAGCAATGCTAGGTGGTTGATCGGCTCGTATCACTCGAGATCACTTGATGCCTCTTGCGGGTGCCACTACGGTACCCAGCAGTCGCTCGATCGCATGCGCGTCGAGTTCCTTGCATGGCGCTCTGAGGCCCAGTGATGAGAATCCTCTCTTTTGACCTGCATCTTGCTCCTCAGGGCTCCACAAAATGTCAGCCTGATGAGTCAGGCGACAGTGCGACACAGCTGTGCATGCACACTTGGATTTGTCTTCTCATCAGCGGAAGACCCCCGTAGCCACTTGAAAGGAGAGGAGTACTGCATCAGCATCACATACGGGCACACATGCACCAGCGTGCGCGTACCGTTTGGTATGTGTCCAAATTTCAACTGCGTGTGGAATGCTGTCCAGCTTGGGTACGGTATGGTGCAGTGGTGGAGGTGTGGGAATGTCTAGGTGATGACAGGTATATGTACAGCACATCAAAGTACTCTCCAGCTGCCTTGCAGTAAACTGTGTGCGCTGGTCATGCCGCAGTTCAGCTGTCTGTCATTGTGACTGTCAGCCAATGCGTGATGCACAAGGCTTGTCGGGTGATGTGCATGGCACACTCTCTGTCGCAAGGCAAGGCGCACTCTCTGTCGCAAGGCAAGGCGCACTGGAGTTTACTACCAGGAAGGCTGCTGTTGCTACCTTGCCCATCGTGCCAAACCTCAGCGGCTCAGGCGAATCAGAGGTGGTGGCCGGGGTCACAAAGCGTGCATTACTAGTGACAGGATGGAGGGGTCACATTTAGCAGCCGCGCCACGCATGTGTGCGTCGTAAGCGGTGGGCGGGATGGTGCACATCACACAGCAAGTGAAACTGCCTTGTGCATGGGAAAGGCACATGGCTGGGACTGATATTTGCAGTGTTCTAATGCACAGCGGTGTGACCCAAAGACTCGCCTGCCTTCCATAGTTCGCAGACACATAGCGCTGATGCGCTGGTGATGGCAGCAGGGTACATACTTGATCAATTCAAAGCGTGCGATGCTGCGTGTATGGGACCGACATGCTGTTCAGCGGGAGCCAAGTGAAGAGCAGGCCATGGCCAACGTCTCAAAGGGAGGTACAAGGCACACAGAAGCCGAGGAGCGCATGAGCGCTAGCACGTGAGCAAATCAGGCCCATTATTCAGCGAGTTGGACGGTCCCCCCCTTCAAGCCCCACGATACAAAGTGCAACCAACACCAAAGCTGTGCGCGCCATGTTTATGCAAAGGCCGATTTGTCAAAACAGCACATACTAGGAACTTGTTGCCTAGTGGTATGGCAGTCATGTGGTATGGCAGTCATGTGAAGCCAGTTAAAGGCGCGGCCATGGGCCGGCAGGGGAGGGCCTCCATTGTCAGCACCCCCTCGTGCCAACAGCTTCAAGGCCAAACCCCTGGTCTGATGCCAAGCTCACGCATCCTCGTGCGCCATCTACCCATGGTTTTCTTTGAAAACTGCTTTTCAGTCCTCCGTGACGGTGACGCTCTTGGCCAGGTTGCGCGGCTGGTCCACGTTGAACCCGCGCAGAGTGGTGAGGTGGTACGACAGCAGCTGCAGGGGGATGATGTTGATGATGGGCTGCAGGGCGTCAACGGTGCGCGGGACGCGGATGAGGGTGCAGCCGCGGCCCTCAAACTGGGTCATAGCGTCGTCGCCAGTGTTGCAGAGGATGACGAGCTTGGCGCTGCGGGCCAGCAGCTGCTGGATGACTGATTCCATCTTGCGGTGCATCGCGTCCTGGGTGGCGATCTGGGGGG